AAAAGTGCAACTATGAAAAGAAGCATGCTTCTATCAAATGAATGAGAATGAAACCGATGACTATCACCGACAACTAGTCTTAAATAAAGGAGAAACTACTGATTCTACAGAGGCACGACAGTGAATGGCCCCCACTTCTATATGAAGTATCTGTGTGGCACGCGACAGTGGGACGTTTTACGTAGAGCAACTCCTAGACGTTCCAATCCCCTGATAATAGGTGATGCGTCTAGATCTTTAGACGAGTGTGCTTACTTATCTAGAGACGAAGTAATAATGAATAAATGGATGGTTTTGCCTGTCGGCCTTTATGGTTTGTTCCTCAACACGGATTAGGTCTTCCAACCCCTGCTAAACAGCACAATCTAACATGATGGAAGTGAGGTACGAAGATGTCCTTGCGTGAAATAGCTTTAGTTATTTCATTTTTATTCCAGTCCATAAATCACAGCTTTTGAAAGAGAATCAACGACCATATATGTAGCAGTCAGTTCCTATCTATACCCCAGGTATTTTCCAACTATAACTCTTCATGGGCATTCCAGTGACGCGTCCATTAGGTATACTAAAAAGCTCTGGATCTATGAAACAAGAAATTCAAAAAGGGCAATGTAGGAATATAAGTTGAAAGCAAAAGAAAAACGAATGACAGTTAACCCGGACAGTCAGATTGGTCCAGAGGGGTTACTTATATCTTCCTATATAAAAAGGATATAGTAACACTCGTTCGGAAACCGTCTCAAGGGGTCAAGCGTGGTTCCAGAGGGGGTCGAACCCTCGACTTTGACGTTATTAGCATCACACTCTAACCAACTGAGTTATGGAACCAGTTATTGTGTCGTTTCGGGTGAAAAGATTCTACGAATGTGGGTGGCCGTAGAATACTCCACTATCCGTAAAATGGGCAAGTTAGGGCTGGATATTACAGCCTGGCGACTCTAGCTGCTTAGAACGCAAGCAAATCCACCATCGGTATACTAGGTAGCTGTACATGATTAGTTAATTTCGTAAGATACTTGAAAATTGTATATGTGGTAGTGCTGCTGGCAGGGTAGTCAATATAGGCCGCTTAGCGCTAGCCTTTCTAGGACTAGCGGAGCCCTGGGTCAATGACGACCGTCCAGCCACACTCGGGTACCCTTATGATTCACATCTTTGCTGCAAACGACAACAGTTGGTTAGTGTGTGGTGCTAATAACGCCAAAGTCGAGGTTCTCTTCTTACCCACCTTGAATGGTTTTATGCTTTCTTCATATGTTTCCCTTGTGTTTCTTTTTTGTTTTGTTGTTGGAAAACGTGACCATGTCCCCGGCAAATACGCTGCGCATTAAGCCTAGAGATAATAATATTTCCCACCAAGGCAAGTCTTTAGACCCTACCTAGAAGAATGCCAGCTATTGCACCTATTGGGGGATTCTCAAGACCACTCTGCCATCAATCTCAGAGCGCTCCAGGCGGTCCAACACATCATTGATATCGTCCAACCCAAAGACTTCAATATGAGCGTTCACATCACCAGCCACGGCCATAGCCAACATCTCATCCATCTCATCCGCCGTTCCCGCGGAGTTTCCGACAATAGTGAGACCTGTATTAGTTGGTCAGACTGGTTCATGTTTTGAATTGCATAAGTATCAGAGAACTTACCCTTGACAATCATATCGAATGGCGTAGCTGGCAGCTTGAATGGCTTGTTGGGAATACCGACGCAGACCAGTGTGCCAAAAGGACGCAACATCTGCATACTTTGTTCGTATGCTCGCTCGCCGTTGGCAGTGCAGATCACAGCATGTACACCATAGGTTGTTTTGGTTTTGACCGCCCGGACAATATCGAGTTCGCGGTAGTCCAGGAATTCTGTAGCCCCAAGCGAAAGACATAGTTGCTTTTTCTGCTCTCCGCTTTAGAAGCATAATCAGGTTAGTCTGTATTAAAGGTGATAGAAAATGTTCAACTTGAGATATCACGGACCTGTCAATCGCAATGACCCTAAGGCCCTTTTTAGCGGCGATTTGAATTCCCCTGTAAGAAATATCTTCGTTAGAAAGCAAAGCTTCCAGTCCTAGAAAGCTGGGTTGGGAATGTACATATGACCAAGGCCACCTCCAGCACCAATGATGGCAAGGTAGTCTCCCGGGCGAGTCTTGGTCTTCATGATAGAAGAGTACATCGCAATTCCAGCTAGAGATGGGGATTAGGGTTTGTGCTGGCAAAATATCAATCGGAAACACATACCGCATAGAAGAGGTGCAGCACTATCTGGTGAAAGCTGCTCCGGAATCCTTGTCACATGGAGTGCTGGACTGACAATATACTCTGAGACATGGATGTTAGAAGTGCTCGACTGGTCTGGATTATTGCACTCATAGATAGAACACTTACGCTGGAAAGTTCCAGGTACATTCTGCCACCATCGATGCAATCAGTAATGGAAAGAATGGCGGGGGACCCATGATCTGCGGGATCAACAACTTACTGCACCAGCGTTCTTCTGATACGGGCATACGGTATGGTTGATTTCACAGATTTCGCAATGGCGACAAGAGCTGTAGAGCCATCTAATATTGGAAATGCATTCAGCGTCAATGAAAGTTCAACCGGACGAGCACTTTGTGACGAAGGAGACAAACCTGATACCGACCCGCGTTCCCATCCATTGCTGCTCGTCAACTCCGGGTCCGACTAAGGCCAACAACGAATGTCAGTTTAGTATGAGTTCTGAGTCCTGAGTTGCGTTCAGCGTGAGGCAGCTAGTTCTTACCTTTGACTACTTTCCCAACACCTTCATGACCCGCGACATCAGTCAACATAGGCGTGTCGCCGCGGATGCTGTGAAGATCCGAGTGACATACCCCAGAAAACTCGAGCTTGACAAGGATTTCACCTTTTCCTGGAGTTGGCACCGGCCGATTGCTCTTGATCCCCACCTTTCCGGAACCAGAAGTGCTGGATGCGATAACAGCAGCGATTTGAATTAGAGGGATTGGGGAGACAGACATGTTGCTGGTTCTATGGGTATTCCAGATCACTGGAGAAAGTCAGCGAATCTTTAGGACTCTTAAATCGGTAGTTGAGGCCTGAAGTCGTATCGCAAATGCGGGGGTGTACCCATGCGAGGAAGGATGCAAAGATAAGCATTTGGGCAGGTTAAGCAGGTTAGACCGGAGAGATATCAATAATAATTACGAACTCGGATAGAATAAATCTGACACTTCTCTTTTACAGTTCAGCGTCAATAATTCAATTAAACAATTATGTATAAGCCGCAGGTCTGACATCGGAATCATGAAGGAGTATAAGACAAAGACTCTGCTAGGCAGAGTAGAAGGGAAGAAGTGGTACATCACTCCGAATGCAGCAGAAGGCCTCCGACTCGCGTGAGAGACTCGAAAACCAAGGTATCAAAGATGAAATTCTAAACTCGACATAAAAACGCCAGAAAATCATGCATTCTCGGACTGGATCGTTTGCTGCAAGCAGAGGCACAATTAGTTCGAGGAACCAGCAGATTGCATTGGGGAAAGAAACGAACCACCAGCCAATCCATTCCCTCATTAATACCCTTGCCATCAATGGCAGAGCAAGCCACAATACTCCAGTTTCGGTCACGCAGCTCTCCTAGCTTCAAAGCCTCTGAGATCTCGCCTGCGCCCTTGGCACCGGGCTGATCTTGTTTGTTGGCAAACACCAGCAATGCCGCGTCGTGAAGTTCCTCCTCATTCAACATGGCTGCTAATTCATCTGCCGCAGTCCCTAATCGCTCAATATCTGTGGAGTCGATGACAAAGACCACTGCGGCGGTGTTGGCGTAGTAGCATCGCCAGTATGGGCGGATAGAAGTTTGGCCGCCAAGATCCTACAATCCATGTTAGGTATGACCAGAATGAGCTTAGAGATGGGTAGAACATACCCAGACATTCAGATTGAGGTTCTTATATGTGACCGATTCGACGTTGAAACCGATTGTAGGTATCGTTGTGACGACCTCACCGATCTGTGGGCGCGAGGTGTTAGCCCCGCGTATCTCACTCAAACGCGCCAGGAAACCAAAGTTTCGAAGCCACGATATCTTACCTTGAGTCTGTACAGCAAAGTAGTCTTTCCTGCGTTGTCCTAAATCCCCGAAAGAATGTTAATTAGTTTCAATCCTTGTCACACCAGTGAGAACCTGTTTTCCCCGCGTGGGACGCAGTCAGAGACAACGTACAAGTCCTAGAATCAGGATGCGGATCTCCTTCTTGGACCAGAGCAGGGACCAGATACGCGATAGTGAACCTCCCATTGTGTGTGATTAACTGGGCGCGTTGTTCACGGTTCACAGGTTATCCGGGCAAGTATGGAGCGGAGGATGATAGGTTGAGGGGCGCGTAAGTCGTGTAGATTGAGTGAAATGAGAGAAACTCGCCAGGGGTTATGGTACAAGTAGGTAGATGAGATAGAGGTGAAAGAGAAGAAGGCACTGGTGGCAACCACATTGGATGTTCTTTGGCCGATCGGCCTGTGCGGTGTGGGCGGTCAATCGGGGGATCATCGTCTTGCGGGATTGAGCTCCTCATTTAGAAAACCCCCATTGTCTCTTTCCCTCTGTTATATTCTGGTTTTATTCACTTCTATCGCATTCTACGTGACTATCTCTCACGATCTCAAGCGCAACCGGGGAACTGCAATCACCTCCGGCGCGCTCCCTAGATTTGCCGCGATTAGTCTCTATTGAAGACAGCCGACCACTACCCGATACCATCATGGTTGGAAAGAAGTCGGGCAAGGCCCTCCGGGATGAGGGTAAGATGATCTGACCGCGCTGGTGGAATACAGCCATCAACAACATAGCAGCTAATACTTGACATAGGCCTGGAGCGGACTGACAATAACATGGAACTATCCAGCTGGCCGCAGATCCCAGCAATCAACCAGAAGAACTACTACACGTACGTATACCCAGGTTGATATCTGTCGCATTGCTCCAGTTCAGAACGTCGATACTGATTGCGCTGTCTAGTGACTATCTGAAACGAGACGATCAAAACCTCGCGTTCCGACTCCAAAACGAGGAAGCAAGGACAAAGATGACGAAGAAAGCGAAAGATCACGACCGTGCCCTCGCTATGGCCAAGACCGAGACCGCGGAAGGCGAGGGTGAAGCAGATGGCGACGCCCACATGGAGGATGCGGAGGAGACCCCGGCCGAGATGGCTGGCTCCAAGGTTATTGTAATCCACATGGGCAGTCAGAATCTCCGGATTGGACTTGCCAGCGACGCACTGCCAAAGACCTTGCCAATGGTGATTGCGAGGAAAGCAGCCACCAATGAGTCCGAAGACCATGATGAACCTAAGCCCAAGAGGTTTAAACACGATGATGGCTCTGAAATGGAGCCCGAAAAAGCCTTTGGACTTGAAGTATGTTCAGTAAGATCCTATTAAGATGTCTTATACTAATATTTTTGATAGTGGTCGTCTCATTTCAACCGGATGTCTGCGGATTTGAAGGTGCACATGCGACAGAACAAGCGAAGAATGCTTCCAAACTCCAAGGAGATGGTTGTTAACTATAACCGCAGAACTGTGCCAGAAATCATCTCTGAACACAATGATCCAATGCGTGCCGAATGGACCGAGCTCTCTAGTCCTCCACCAGAGTATATTGTTGGGCAGCCAGCCTTACGGGTACCGGATTCTTCAAAACCTCGATACAAGCTGTATTGGCCAATCCGGAATGGTTGGTGCAACGAGAAAGACTACACAAGCAAGAGGTCGCTCTTCCTGGATATTTCATTGATCGTGGAAGATGCGATCAAGAATCAACTGCGCTTGACGAGCAAGAAGGACTGGACCCAGTATTCGTGTGTCTTCGTCATCCCGGATCTTTACGACAAGTCCTATGTCACCCAAGTCTTGGATATGCTGATGCGAGAGTTTGCGTTCGCTCGGGTGTGTTTCATCCAAGAGAGTCTGGCAGCCACCTTTGGTGCCGGCTTCACCTCGGCATGTGTCGTCGATATTGGAGCGCAGAAGACTTCGATCTGCTGTGTGGAAGAAGGCATGTGTATTGAGAACTCCCGAGTGAACTTGAAGTATGGTGGTCAAGACGTGACCGAAACGTTCATCAAGATGATGCTGCACGATCATTTCCCCTATGCCGACATCAACCTATGGCGTAGACACGACTTCCTTCTGGCCGAAGAGCTCAAGAAGAACATCTGCACCATGAATGAAGCCAGCGTTTCTCCACAAGTCTTTGACTTCCACCTTCGTGTTGCAGGCCAAGACACACGAAAGTATACTTTCAAGGCTTTTGACGAAGTTCACCTAGCGCCAATGGGTGTTTTTGAGCCTGATATTTTCGACAATTCTGACAAAATTACCGGGAGACGGACTTTGATCGATCGTTCTGTTGACATCTACGATGGATCACCTAATGATCCTACTTCTGCAGCCCAGTCAGAGATTTTGACCGCCATGGCCCCTCCCCTCCCCTCTCATGGCAAGACAAATGGCGAGTCTCACTCAGCGGCGCCGGATGTTCAGGCCACGCCAGGCCGCCCCCAACACCCTAATGCTCTAAGTAAAGTCCAAGATTTGGAGGGCACACCTCGATCTTCTGTCGCTGGTTCTCCAGGACCGGAGAACACAGGGACCCCTCAAGCAGGAGGGACAAGCACACCCGCTGCCGCGGCCACTGCAGCCCAGGCTCCCCGCCCTCCCGCGGTGGAAGATCGTGATGATATCATGCCGGTGTTTGGTCTGGACAACGCTATCCTGACCTCTATTGCCCACGCGTCTCGCTCAGATGAGAAGAAGATGCGGGATTTCATCGGCGGTATCATGGTCGTCGGTGGAGGTAGCTTGACTAGCGGGTTCCATCTCTTCTTGGAAGAGCGGCTGCAGGCTCTCCGCCCTGGCTTCTCAAAGGAAATTATGATTGGGACACCGCCCAGAGACCTCGATCCCCAGGTTGTTGTGTGGAAGGGAGCTAGTATTTTCGGCAAACTGACCGGTACAAACGACAGTTGGATCGGAAGACTGGAGTATGATCGACTTGGGCCCCGGCTGATGGCGTACAAGTGCATGTGGGCCTACTGAGTGCACTTTGGGAGATTCGTTTACGGGTATTATGAGAATTCGGCGCGGGAGTTGTATGTTTTTTGGTCACTTTCAAAAGGAATTTCATCTTTTCTTTTTCTAATACAATGAAGTACTTTGGATATCGTAACCGGTAATTAAATGAGGCAAAAGGAAAGAATCTGTAAGCGCGGTATCAGATGTAAGCTGTGAGCTGTTCAATGTTGTCCTTAGGTTGGATGAATGCACGCACTTCGCTTTCAACGCTCATACTTCCCGCCTTGCCACGTGATTATAATTGTATTTCCACGCACATTTCCTTCAATACAGTAAAAATCAGGCGGTGAATGTGGGCAGAATAATGGTCCTCAGGCTCAACTTCGGAGTTGTGCTGAATGGCAGCTTTTGCCGATTCCTCCAGCTCCATTTGCGGCCAGTCTGGATAAGCCTCTTCTACTGGCAAGCTGAGTCACTGAATTCTGATATTATTGCCAAATTTCCTCCATACCGCTGTCCTTGCCTTTCTACAAGCCCTTGACTCTCCTTGCGGTAGGTTTGCGACCAGTTCCCTCGCGTCCATTCTGAACCGAGCTCTTATACTGACTGCCTACTGTAGAGTTGCAATACCAATCTTGTTTGCCAAAATTGAGGCAACAAGATCCCAATTCATCCCAGTCTATCCCAGTCTATCCCAGTCCATTACAGTGAGCTTCCGTCCCACTCTGCCCAGACGCACGCCGAGTTGCTAATGCGCAATTAATCGCCCAGTCAATTGCGCGAGCAAATAAGACGACAATATGGCTTCCAAATCTAAGGAGGGTCAGTCATCAGGTGGCTTTCACCAGGAGTACATCGCATCCCTCCGCTATCGCAATGATCTGCCTCCCCCAGAAATGCCCCCCAAGTTCCTTGACATCCCACACGAGGGCTTGAGTCGCTTCCTCACCCCCGGTTTTGCCTCAAATCTGGCGCGCCGTGAGGAGCCCAACATTGAAGTCGATGCCGAAGGTGGGATGCCAATTGACCTTGTCGGTATTCCGGGGTTACATTTGGGCGACGAGAGTGGTATGTCAACGCAGAATCCCCTATAGTTGCATTGCTGCAACTAACATTTCCATCAGCTATTATGGCACCTGAGAATCCTCAGCCCATGGACCCCGCTGACCTTCCCCTTCTCATGACTATCGAGCAACTCCGCAACCCTGCCCCCAGGAATACCAATGTCAGTTTCCTCCGCCGTACACAACACATCGGTGTCGACCGCAGTGCGGGAGATGGATCACGCCCTGCACCCATTAAACCACAATCACGCACTGCGAAGAAAGGGAAACCTCCTGTGGATGACCCAAAACATGTTAAGAAGTTCATCCAAAAAGGATTTGATATCGCCTACCCCCAGAGCAAGCACTCTGGAGACGACACTGATAGCCACATCCGCGGTCTTCCCCCCACAAAGGCAGAACTTAATGCCTGGGCTAATCCCGTTCACCCTGAAAACCCGAAATTGAAGCCAGTCGGTTTCTTCCCTGTGATGCCTGATCTGGAAGGGTTCCCAGACCCTGGTGGTTACCTTCAATTCAAGTTTGATAAGGCGCCTTTGGCAGCCGTCGCAGGCAAGCGGGACAAGCGTATGGATGTTGGTATCCTGACACCAGTCGCGCCCGAGCAGCGCGTTTGCATGGAGCACGAATCTAAACTGAATCTTCACCACACGAACCCTGTTCTTTACGCCCACCCGGGCCCAGTCCCTTATGACTACCAACTCTTCCTTCCAGAGAAGCCACAATCCGTTAAGAACATTGACGCTAGCATGAACCTGTCCAACCCAAATCGAGACAGCGAAGATCTCTACACCAACGAGAGCGCCGAGGGCAACAAGTTCCACCGCTATGATCGCATTCGCACTTACGCCACCAGTGCTCAGGTCTTCAACACTGAGCAAAAGGACATCGCTTTGACGCTATTCGAACCCAAGAATGGCGACGCCAGACAGTTGGCCGCTTACTACTATCCAATTTCAGGCAAGGCCCGCCTCAAGCCGGAGCGTGCTCGCACTATCGCCCAGGCCGGTCTCGCTCCAACTTCCACGCAACAGGAAGAGATCGAGGAACGGATTGACCAGATGCAGATAGTCATGCGTGACCCCAACGAGGCTGAAGTCTACAAGCGTGCTTTGACCCGTCTGCGTATCGATCCGAAGTTTGCAAGCAATATGCCACCCGAGCCCGTTGTCCAGGAAGAGGAGCAACCGTTGGAGAACGAAGGGACAGAAAAGTCAGCCGATGAGGATGCTCGCATGAGCGATGACGAATAGATGTTCGCGGCTGTCTATTATGTATTATGGATCTTTTTTGCACATTACAATCTCGAAATATCTGCCTAGGTAGATTCCCATGGGTCTGGCGTCTGAGCAATGGAAAATGGCGTTAAGTATAGTCAATATGGTTAATGAACGTAGTTGCACAGTAGTTTTGTACGTTGAGATCATCCCATCCTCCATGGATGCCTGTTTCTGCCCGGAACCTGAGCGCTTGCTCGTTATGCCTCTATATAAGGCCTTCCTTTTGCTAGTCGAATGGAGATGTTTCTTCCTTCTTGATCTTCCTCGTTGATGGTAGCATGTAACCTCCAACATTGTATACTGTATATATTTACCTCAATGCCTTGGGGTTTCAGGTTCATTATATTCCTTACAAGTAGATTTTGGTCAGTAGTGGACAACATTGAAGTTTGGTCTTTCCAAGGTCGCTCCCTTACAACGTTCCCTTTGGACTTATTTTCAACCATCTTCTTACAACCACTTTGTCCTGCACTTAATTTAATTCACCTCATTTGTTTCTTCTTCCTCACAGTTGATAGCTCACGCTCACAACAACCACACAGTCTGTCTCGCAATCCATCTTCAAACAGTCGATGCCTTTTCTTGATCTCCAAAATGGACTTGCTGGACCTTCCAATCGAACTCATCCTCATGATCGAGAAACACCTCCCTACGCAAGCCAATGTCTCTGCCTTGATGAGATCCAATTCCGGGGTGCTTTCTATTCTCCAAAAGAGACTTTACAGACCAACAAAGTGGTCTGAGGTTGACTCCAATTTGAGAAGGGCATGTGAAAGGGGAAACGAAGGCTTGGCTTCTAATTTGCGCCAATACTCTAAAGAGGCCAATGAGTGGCTTAAGAAATTTCCCCCCTTCCAAGCTTACCTGCAGCAAGTGACAGCCGGATTCCCAACTGCCAAGTTCGACCCATCTCCTATTGGCCCGGATCTATGGGGAGCCGGTATCTTTGAGGTACCGGCGACCGAGCAGACCATGATTATCTCGGCGCTATCGAAGGAAGGGGCCCAGACCACGAAGAAGTCAAAACGGCTGATTGATGAGGACTCCGTCAATTTGAGCCTCGTGGCCTTCCTTATTGCTGTCGCCGCCAAATACCCCTCCGTACATAGCCGTTGGGCCCCCTATAGGAAGCCAATCAAGGCTCAATTTGGCAAGTTAGACAACAGTCGATTCCGAACAAGATCAGCCTATTAATAGTGGAGATCGAATAAGATATACCTCGTGTAGACTGAATATTCGTGCAGCACCGAGAAGTTCGAGACCAGGCTTCCTGTGGGAGCTTAATGCTTTTCACATCTGTTGCAAGGCACTCATATGCAGCTTTGTTCCCTGTTGTTTCATCCAATACTGGCTCTGTTGCTGACCACGACTATTGAAGTCTTGTCAGACTCGTGCGGTTCCAAGGTTCAGCCGCTGGAGATAACTTTAAATTGGTGGGGCCGTATAGGTTCCCGGGCTAAACCCAAAAGGGAACATTATGCGCGAGCTGCGTTGGAATTGTCAGACGGCGTAGCCTTCGGCCAAAGTACTCTCTTAGTACATAAGGAGCTTTGCATTGTCTCACTGTCAGTTATTCCGTGATAGAGTCAGGCTCACAAGTATGTATATACAGTTCTCCATGTACTAGAAGTGGGTTTACCTTCGTATCTCGAGATCCACCCAGAGAGTTAGTTGTTTGATGATGTGGCGGTGTGTTTGAACATGAAAGAGAGGGAAATACCCAAGGCCAAGTCTGTAGAGGACAAAACCAAACTGGCCTTGCTAGAATATCAATCCGCCGGCCGTAAACGACACCTTCATGATTAAGGCCCTTCTCATCTTGGACTTTGCTCTTAATCGACGCGCAATTCATTTAACCAAGAAAGACTGTCTCGGCAATTCTTTGCTGTTTTATAAGTATCTTCTGACCGTGCGTAAGTAAAATAAATAGAGTGTGAAAGAAAGTCATGCATGACTGCCTAACATTTGCCATATATAACATTTGATCAAGACCAAGATATCGGTCTGAGAGGAGTGGAAACGATGCTAAATATATGGATTGATTTACAAACGGAATTGACAAACCAATGCTCTGTACGGAGTAGTCGACGTAGGTACGGAATAAATGATCACGAAATCCTCCGGTCGCCGGGATCTACTTATACTAAATTATGGGTTAGATTATGGGTGACACTGAGATCCCATTAAATCTGGGGAACTCCCAGTGTGCTAGCAAGCAGGGAGTTGATTGGCGCCCGTGGGCCCTAAAGATTGGCCCTGGTGGCGGCCCTATGGGGGGCACAGCACGCCCCACGGGTCAGGTCAATGGGACCTTAACGGTCCATGCCAAGACTTTCGGGGGACCACATGGGAAGTGACTTGGCTGTGAATGGCCCAGATATTAGGGGGACTACAGGCTACTGCAGGAACCCAATTGTCCTTAGAGTTGCATCGGAATTGATTTGCAGCGGATTTAGTTTGGTTCATGCTGCTTTTGGATGATCTACTACTTCAATCCAAAGGATTATAGTTGACCATGTACAAGTTACTTCCTTAATGTAGTTGGGTATACGTATAGTCCGTGTCCATTGTACCTTGCCTTGCCCCTCCACTCCCTCTTATCATCTGCACCCCCCATGTGTCGCCGTGATAGGACAAGGCACACGCTCCCGTCTCCTCGTGAGGGGACATGCGGTCAATTAAAGCTAATTCACTTTGTATTTGAATCTCACGGTCGCTTCTCTCACTCTTCGTTCGTTGCATCGCTCTTTGCACATTGAATATGGATTTGATGCATGTATACATCGCTGGCGCCGCCGTACTGGTGTTTGCCTTGGTCGGCCTGGTTCTTCTCGTCTCCTCTCGGCATATCAAAGTCGCCAACACTGGAGTTGGCCCTTACTTGAAATTCATCTGGGCGAACTTCCTCAAACCACACGATAAGAAGGCCGGGGGCCAGCAGGATGCGTTGGAGAGCTTCTACAAGACACAGGTGCGGTCAAATGACTACGAGCTTGCATGTGGCTCAAAGCTGACCGTGTCAGGCCGCAATTTACGATGCCACTCGTCGTCGTCTGCTCTGTGGTCGCGAGGACATGCTTGGTCTTGTGGCCGCACAACTGAAGTACAAGATTAACAACAAGGAAGTCAAGGCTGGAAAGGCTGTCTGGGTGGATGTAAGTATCAACTTGCTACCTTTCTGAGCTAGCGCTAATGTATTCCAGGTCGGTGGCGGTACTGGGTAGGCACAAGAGGTTCCCCAAAGTGATACAGACAAGACATCTGACTTGTGACAGATACAACATCGAAGCCATGGCGGCCTTCCTTCCCGTGGACAAATTCTTCAAGCACGTCTACCTAGTCGACCTCTCCCCGTCCCTCTGCGAAGTCGCCCGCGAGCGCTTCGAGCGTCTTGGGTGGAAGAATGTCACCGTTCTCTGCCAAGATGCCCGGTCTTTCCAACTACCCGAGAAGGAGCTCAATCCGCGGTCTACAAGCGAAGCAAGTGGTGGCGTGGACTTGATTACTATGAGCTACAGTCTATCAATGATCCCTGGTGAGTGTTCAAGATCCACGGAAGACTATTGATATTGACCTTTTTAGACTATTACAGCGTTGTGGATTCATTAACTTCCCGCTTGAAGTCAACTGGAATGTTGGGTGTGTGTGACTTTTACGGTAAGCAATACCTCGAAGTTCTGCATGAATGTCACTCATTCAGATCTAGTCCAAAGCATCGTGGATGTGTCCTGTCGCAACTATACTGGCGGCGCTTTCAACCGCCATGTCAACTGGCTTGGACGAGTGTTTTGGAGAGCCTGGTTCGATTTCGACCGGGTCAGCCTTGAAGCCGCCCGCCGCGACTACCTGGAATACAAGTTTGGTACTGTCATCTCCGCCAGCGAACGAAACTATTTCCTTGGTGGTATTCCCTACTACATATTCGTTGGCTGCCCAAAGGAAATTGCATCTACCCCATCGAGTCAATCCATTGAAAAGCTGGATGCGTCTTTTACCGAGTCTCCTTACCTGCTTCCTGCCAATCACATGCAGGAGATGGATAATGCAGTGGTGAAAAGCACAAACGAGATTCGCTCCAAGGCATATGAGTCTGCTGTGATTAACCTGAGTGCAAACCTGCCGCTTCCATCATCCTTTTACCAGAACCATCACTATCGCATTCATTACAACGACATGCTACCTAAACATACTCAATTCCAGAACGAGTATATCTACGCGTTCACATGGGAAGACCCGCGAGTTGACCACCGGCTCCTGAACATCGGCAAAGACGACGTGATCCTGGCTATCACCAGCGCTGGTGACAACATTCTTGATTATCTGCAAAAGAACCCCCGCCGGGTGCACGCAGTGGACTTGAACCCTAACCAGAATCATCTCCTTGAGCTGAAGGTTGCCTGTTATTCAGCGTTGGGTCACCGGGATATGTGGAAAATCTTCGGTGATGGAAAGCACGCACAGTTCCGTGAACTGCTAATCTCCAAACTCAGCCCTCACTTGTCCAGCCAGGCTTTCCAGTACTGGCTCGAGCACAGCCAGACCTTCACTTCTACCTCTGGCTATGGTCTATATGAGACCGGTGGATCTCGCCATGCGATTCGCATGGTGCGATGGCTCTTCAATATCTTTGGGCTCCAGGGTGAGGTTCGCAAGATGTGTGAAGCACAGACTCTCGCAGAGCAGCGCGAAATCTGGCCTCGCATTCGAGGTGTGCTAATGAGCCGCCCACTCCACTGGGCTATTGTGAGCACCGAATGGTTCGCCTGGAAGGCCGCCGGAGTGCCACGCAACCAGCGAAATATGATTGTCGACGACTTCTTCCGCCGCAACGGCTTGACCGAAGATATGAAAAAGGCCAAGGATGTCAGCGGCCGGTCAATTTGGGAATATGTTGTCAATACTCTTGACCCTGTCGTCAACGAGACTATGATCGGCAATGACAACTATTTCTACTACCTTTGCGTCCAGGGCAAATTCTCACGCAGGTTCGTTTCCTTCCTTTTTTTTCTATGTCTTTCAATTACATGTTCTAACTGCAATCATAGATGCCACCCCACCTATCTCTCTCCTCAAGCACATGTCAGGCTTTCCACGCCTGGTGCATTTGATGGCCTTCGTATCCACACTGATGAGATCAACGAAGTGATCAACCGTATCACCCCGGGAACTCTGACTATCGCCGTGGTAAGTATCAAAATACCTTTCAGCGGTATTTCTCATGCTAAATGTATATCAGGTCATGGACTCGATGGACTGGTTCGATCCCGAAGGGGACGCAGCCCCTAACCAAGCCCGAACTTTCAACAAAGCCTTGAAGAAGGGTGGTCGCATTCTCCTCCGTTCCGCCAGTATCGATCCTTGGTACATCAAGCACTTCGAGGAAAACGGCTTCTCTGCTCGTCGCGTGGGAGCTCGTTTCCCAGGTACCTGTATCGACCGGTGAGTTTCGAAGTTCTGTTCTACTCTTACGGACGAAGCTTATGCATCTATTCTAGGGTAAATATGTACGCATCGACCTGGATCTGTACTAAAACCGAAGACATGTCCCGCCCTAGTACGGACCGCAAAATGTCGTCTCTCTCATTGGGGGACAGCGCTATTGCCGGAGGCAAGATGCCGAGCAGCGTGGAGAATCTGTTGATTTAAGTACGGCCGATAACTGTTCTTTTCCTTGATGTGGTCCTTTCAGACTACGCCGCACGTGCCTCTCATGATACCTATGATCTGGAGTTAGTTGGAGTGTTTCGTATGCTTGCCTTCAAAAGCGCAGGGGTCAGGAGTATGATTCGAAAGCTTTTGCGGTTTCCATGGGGAGGCGGGATGATCGTGACGGCTTGTCCTGCGCACACACCCGCCGTCTTTTCTTTTTTTTTTTTTTTGTAGTTTCAACGATACTCTGAAAATAATTCTAGATCTAAGCCAGA